GACATAACCGCGACGGAGGGGGCAAAATTGTCCAATAATTATAATTCAAAACTGATAGTTTCCTCCTTCTACAAGCTACACCGGTCCATTCGCTAATTCACAATCCCAAAGCACGAGAGCAGTTTCACTCCTCCCAACGACGACGAAGCCTACGCGAAGACGACGATCGACGATCGCCTCAGCACAAAAACAGAGAGCTACTGTCAAAACACACCACTACGTTTGCGATAGGAAGCAGAAACCCTACACCGCAGACCAGTTCGACTACGACACCCCAAAAAAATGGTGAACAAGGGCAAACAACCAGTGACGAAGAGTAAACAGCCACCGCCGAATGGTATGCACTCAAACTCTAGACACAAAAACCAACTTCAACATGACAGTATTTGATATTTCCTTTATTAGTAGTGTATTTTGTATTATGTAAAAGGAATAGAGCAATTAACAGTGTTGTGTGTTTTATTTGGATGATCGGTGTGTCTTGACATAATATTAGTGTGTTTTTGGTTCTATCCTGACTATGACATCTAATATTGTGTTGTATGGGGATTATCAACGTGAATGTAGTGTATATTTCGTTTAGTGTTGGTGTATTCTGGACTATATAACTTGAATAGAGAAAATAACACTGTTGTGTGATTTATTTGGGTGATCGGTGTATCTTAATCTAATATTATGTTGTCTGGTGAATATCAATGTGAATGTAGTGTATATTTCAGTTAGTATTGGTGTATTCTGGCCTACGTAACTTGAATATAGAAAAGAACAATGTTGTGTGTTTTATTTGGGCGATCGGTGTATCTTAGTCTAATATTGGTGTGTTTTGTAGTGCGTTCATTTATTAGGCAATATAATTTTAGTAATCCTATTTGACCTAGCTTTGAATTAGTAATATAATAATATAATTAGTAGTTGATGAATGTGCGTGGACAGCGTGGTTCAGTAGTCTATATATATATAAAAGTAAAATCCTCCTAGCCAAGTTTTCCCCCCAAAACTTAGAGGCATTTTTGTAATATCAAATATTTAGACAAATATGGCATTTTAATAATATTAAAGATTTTACCTTTCTTGAGATCTCTTACCATTTTATAATTTCAATACTAAACCCTTTTGATCTCATCCATTGTGTATAAATACACCTTATATGACCATACACAACCCCAACTAAGGTTAATTATTTTATTGATTTTTCCTAATCATCCTGTGATCTTCCACAGTTGAGGTTGATACGTGATTTTCACTGGTGAGGTTTTCATTATCTTAGTTTCTTTAATTTTTTCTTCTTTTTGGGTTTTGTTTTGTTTTTATTCTTTTGTATTTTCTGATTTTTAAACAACAAAAGTGGTTCGTAAGAAAAAATGTTGATATATTCTTTTCTTTTTTTGTCTATTTTTGTAGAGAAGATACGGATCTAGAAAGATTGATCGGGAAGCAATAGACTTCTAATCATCCTGTGATCTTCCACAGTTGAGGTTGATACGTGATTTGCACTGGTGAGGTTTTCATTATCTTAGTTTCTTTTATTTTTTCTTCTTTTTGGGTTTTGTTTTGTTTTTATTTTTTTGTATTTTTTGATTTTTAAACAACAAAAGTGGTTCGTAAGAAAAAATGTTGATATATTCTTTTTTTTTGGTATATTTTTGTGGAGAAGATACTATACGGATCTAGACAGATTGACCGGGAAGCAATAGACTTCTAATCATCATGTGATCTTCCACAGTTGAGGTTGATACGTGATTTACATTGGTGAGGTTTTCATCATCTTAGTTTCTTTTATTTTTTTCTTCTTTTTGGGTTTTGTTTTGTTTTTATTTTTTTGTATTTTATGGTTTTTAAACAACAAAAGTGGTTCATAAGAAAAAATGTTGATATATATATTTTTTTTGTCTTTTTTTTTTTTTTTTTTTTTTTTTTTTTTTTTTTTTTTTTTTTTGTTTTGTTTGTGGAGAAGATACAGATCTAGAAAGATTGATCGGGAAGCAAAAGAGTTCCTTGCTCATCAAGATGATAAAGTTTTGTGATCGAGGGACGAATTATGTGTATATGTAAATATATATAGACTTATTGAGAGAACCATACTAAGAATACAATAAAAACCAAAATGAAATTAAAAGCATTTTTTAGTTGTCAATATATCAAAGCATTGGACATTGTTTCGATTCAATTTCTCCGTTTTTAAAGTGTACATTTTTTGTAATAAGAGAGTAGTTTGTCTTTCCCTTCAAGACGTTTTTCTTGCCATTTAATTTTTTTTTTTTTAGGAAAAAAATGATTAAGTACTGTGGCTTTTTTTTTTCAATAGAGTATTATTTTGATTTTATTCTTCATCTGACATTCCTTGATATGAAATCACTTTACTAATGTAAAATAATGTTATTGACTTACCATGTTTGCTTCGATATGCTAAGCCATTTAAAATTTAATACGGAGTAAAATTTATAATTGTAATACTTCCGTAATAATATTGAATAAATATTAATCATATGTTTAGATTTAA